ACTTTACATATAGGAGAGCAGTTCCGATATATCAATAAATTTACAAAGCAGATCACGGTTGGTTTCGTTTAAAAATATTGTTTAGACTTAGGCGATTTGAAGTAGGCAGGAATATATAGCAAAAAAGAATCTGTGAAACGGAGAATTAATAAACTATACAAATGTTAAGGACAGCTTCCTTTGGGCTACCCATACTCTCATTTTGTGCTGAGTGCGTGGTCATTAGTCAACGGTCAACCTGTAGGGACGCGCGTACGATTCGTACACACAAGAGGGTGTTTCCTTGATACCGAGCGACTGACCAGTGTTTTCTTGTCGTCTAATCCGGCTGCGTGCCTCATCTGTTGAACAAATAGGACGTGAATCTAGATAGCAAATTTGAAGTGGTGCTTACACCCACATGACATGACTCCCACGTCAACACTTCACCCACCCTCAGGATGACCTTCTGTCTACATCCTGGCGTAGTTAGACCCCATCTGGGCTGCCACAGGTGCCACTTAGCCACTCCGAAAGATATGCGTACGTGACGACACACATACAATGTCTAAGTTGAGCGAAACAAGCTAGAAGTCAATGCTGGTACGTTTCTTGTGTCCAGGAGGATGCCCCGCTGACGAAAATCCTTAAACCGAGCTTTAGACCGCTGCGTCTCATCGGGTTGTTTCTTGAACGTTCTTGGCGTGACTGAATGGTGTCCACAACAATCCGCTAGTAGTTGTAGAGGCGTTCCGGTTTTATGCTTGGTCCGAAGTGTGTAAACACGCTTGATCAAACAGCTGAATTGCTTAAAGGGGTTGTTCGTGGTGGCGTATCCACTAGGGGTGTGAAAACATTGCCACTGGGAGGCTCGCCCGTCATCCAGACGCTGCTTAAGTAGCTTTGAAACCCGGTCAACTACTCTTCACGTGACCACTTCACCAGAACAATCTTCTTTGTTCGCCATACACTTCTTTTGAAGATGCTAAATGAAGGTAGTAAACGTCAGCGACCACCCGCTCGCACAAACGATCCGGTATTCCCATAAGCTTGTCATGAACCTTGGCCTTCACGTGGTAGAAAACAGGAAAGACGCGTAGTCGGAATCCACACCAAAACATTGGTTCACCGCGTGTTGTGGACCAGCTTCAACATTTGCTATTACGTACTTGACCAGCAGCTGCTGTCCCGTCACGACGGTGGAAACCCTCCGGAGAGACGAGAGCAATTTCTAGTACACTCCATCCAGTCGCTGAGAAGTGATGAAGAGCGCGAGCAAGTTAAAGGTCCAACATCTTTCCAAAACCCCACAAATGATGACAGGATACGACACTTAGTTTAACTTGACGGTGGTGTCCATGTGAAACACAAATGACCAGCAACAGGCGCTTCGTGGTCACGCCGACCCAAAACGACTTTTCATCAGAGCAGTTACCGACATCAGGCTTACCATGCGCGTCGCGCTCCCAACCAAAGGAAATGGACGAGTGTCGGCCATCTCGGGACCATAAGCCAGCTGGTCGACCTGGCTCAAGATTTCGTCATGATCAATTTTTTGGTTAAGCGTCTTCTTGGTGTAATAGCTGATGAACCATTGCACATGGCACAGGGTGAGCATTTCAGCCTCCGTTATCCCGTTCCCGTCTGGACATGCTCATGTGAATTCGCGCCGGCTTCAGGCGCCGCCATTTCACGGCCGCAGTTTCTCAGTCAAGGAGTCGGCTGGGGCTTGTGTGATTTGCGGACGAGAGCATCGTGAGCACCAGAAGCGAGCACCAGACGCGGTCATCACTCGGTGGAGCTCTTGCTACGTAAATACCTTTCCTATCCAGTGGCAAGCATCGTAGGGTGCCGTCGCTTTGCATGTTTCAGAGGAACATCAAAGCAACTGGTATCGTGCCTTGTGCGTTTAGTCACCGCGCATAGAGAGTATGGAACCGGCTGACTCTTGACAATGATAAACACTTTCATGTCTTAAGGAGCAGCTGTAATTACTCACGAGCCGTGTCGCTGTAGACCGTTTTCCACACGTATCCTGAGGTCATCGTAGGTCGAGATGAGAGAAGGGGGCTGGCTAAACGAGGTTCTCAAGTGTTGCGTAGTTTCGAGAATGAATTGAGAGTCACGGGGTCTAGTTAAACGATTAGGTTAAAGAAATCAATTTCATTGGTAGAAATTCGAATTTGTTCCCTAACACGATTCGCTAGAATCGAATGGTATAAATTTACCCACATTTGACGTGTTCTTACGGGGGACTGTGTACCACGTGTACAATAAGTTTTGCAATACATTAGTTTGGTATGTCTAACGCCTTTTTACGTGAACGCTCATATTCTACGTGTCAAACCTTTTTGTGTGTGTCTTCCGGTTCTGTCATTACGATCAACAGAGGCGCCACGGTTTTTACTTGCCGCCTATGGTAAACAATTGGTGGAGTTAACGGCACGATGCTCCCCTCCAACAGGTAAAATATGAGATGATTGGTGGCAGCATACATGTAAGCAGTTGCGTCAGCACCCTTTTTTTTCGAACTTGGGACGGTTTAAAAAATAAAAGAAGTTGCAATTGAAGCACTCTAAACGAAAGTGGGGCGTCTCCTCTATCTCTTGCGCTGAGAAGAAATTATTCTGGATCGCGGAATCGCTTTTGATTAAATCGTAATTTGGAACCAGGCGACTGCGAGGTTTTCTCTTCTTCTTTCTTTTAATGGTAGCCCTGCTCATTTGAGACCTGCCCCTAGAGTAGGCGACGTTAACGAAGTAACAAGTTGCTGAGTTTGCTGTTTGGTTGATTTGATTGGAGCTGACCAGGTGTCTCAAGTGTCATCTCGACATCTTGTGCTTTTCAAAGCTACGGAATGTTTAGAATAGAAGAAGCTGTGGACGCCCAAAAATCTCCAATTTCGGGCCCTTATAATGACGATACATTTAGGCGTATTGTGAGCTCAATATTTTATCATTTTTTTCAGATTCAAGTGCTACTTAAAATTAAAGCATTGAAAAATGATAGTTTTACAGGTTTTCTTGATGGAAGTTTACATAAAATGTCACAGTTGCCGTTAAGAGCGAAAGTCAATTGGCCACCGATTATGTCAATTACTCTAAATCGTTCGTAAACATCATTTTGTTTGAAACCGTCTCACTTACACTCGGACTCTCTCGCGAATTGAGAACGTCAGATTGTCTCTCGGACGGACGTCCCAAAAGATGCATTGTTTCGTGACCAAGATGATCAAATGATATGTACTATTGTGGAACTCGTTTGTACATGGTGTTTCAAAGCTCGTTCGGAGATAAGATACATGATCTTCATATTAGCCCTGCACATTAGGCAAATCTGAGCGCTTGTATGTGATGTCCGGCCGACACATTCGCACATGGTGTCGAATTTTATCCAGTCTCTTTCAAGCAACATTGTGGTCACCACAGGCAAGATTAATGTATTATGATTGGCCGGTTACATTGCATTTATATTATTTATTAATACATGTACAGTGTAGGAGGAGGCTCAACGACCGATGATACTTACTGTAGCATAATTGTACTAAAAAACAATGCCACCAAGATGACGTTGTTCGTAATCAGCTGAACACGTAAGTAAACTTGAGATAATTTGGAATCGTACCGGCTGGATTTGAACTCAATTCAATTTTCACTCTGGATCCCAGCAATTCTTGACTCAGTAACACGGAGCGAGTGGTCAGAGAGGGCCGCCGACATAGTTACCGGACAGTGCGAGATGCATTGCGTAGCTAAGTGACGACCATGTTTTATACCGGTAAAAAAAAAGTATGAGTAACATAGGGTATTGACGTTTCAGATATTTACACATTTTCGGAAATAAAATAACTTTCGGACGGCTATTATTAATATGAGCATAACGCTCGTTATAGCCAGCTAATTAAAGCCTTTCTGTAGGCACTCGTGTTAATTAACTATTCGGCAGGCCAGATATTCCGAAGCTTCCAAAACAAAGCCGTGTTTCACGGAGAAGCTCTGGATTACGCTACTGTGTGTAGGGCGGTTGCTTCACCATTGGTTTTACTGTAAACTTTACATGTAATGTACGGTGACTAAGGAGCTTAGCATACATCAAGTGCCAGAAATGGGTACTTTTCAATTTGATCTGCACAAACTTTACAGGAATATTAGTATCCATGCGGTCCCTATTGCCGGGCTTTACAGTATACTCAAAGTGCATGTATCTTTCAATTTTTTCCATATAATGTTTACAAGGAGATTAGTTCCCATGCGTTCCTCACTGACGCATTACTGTATAATACTACCTGTATACATAAGAAAGAACGCGATTGCAAGAGAGATATTTGCGGTAAGGTCATCTGCTGCACAGAATGATCTGTTCGAACAACATTCACGAGGATTAAATTACTTCGGTTGGTCGTAAGTTACAGTGATGCAGCATTCACCTGGGTGACATCACTGGTACAGAGGATACATGTATTCAGCTATATTTTACCATTCTCTTGATTTAAGTACTAAATGCTGCTTCTGATAAAAGCTGAAATGACAGGTTAACAATCCAATGCAGGTGTTGAAGTAAATTTATTTAGGTTTTGTGTTGAAAACGTTATTTTGGGATCTGAGTATAAGAAGTTAAAGAAGTTTTGGGTCAGAATGACTCTAAATCTCACACATTGCTAATATCCCAAAAGTGAAATCAGAATTAGCTGTATCATAATCTTTCTAGAAAAGTCTTGCGTTTGCAAACCTGAATAGATCTACAACTTTTACATTATTGTGGTTTTCATTCATTTTTGACGTCTATATATCGGATTCGATTTGCCGAAATCGAAAAGGGGGGAAACGTAGAGTAGCGATATCAGGCTGGCTATGTAAAAAGATTTGTCGTCTTTATGTTTACAAACGCCAGACTACCGAATTATCGTAGTCCTAGGGGACGTTTACTCCTAAGGGTCACCAACGAACCAACCAATCGGATCCTTCGATTGTAATACAGATGGCTCCATTACTTACGATAAGGTTCATTCTAATTTTACTTCGGCGGAAGCTAAAAGAACGGAGCCCAACACCACAAAGAAAACGGAAGGCCGTCGAAAAGTATGGTTCGCCCTCGCATCAATGGACCAGGAAAGAAGCGGAAGACCTATCAACGTAGGGCAGTAGAGTATGCGCATAAGAGAGACGTCCTCGACTTCATTGACAGCGGTCACAGCCTTGACGAGACAATTTCACAGTTCTACGGCGACTTAAGTGGCTCCGACATTCGTGCTAAGAAAAAACAAATTCACAAGTGGAGCAAGCAGGCTCCAACTATACGTGCTGCATGTGATTCTGGGCGGGGGTGCCACCGAAATCTGCGCGGACTTGGTGAAGCGACTGTGCTCACCAAGGAGGCTGAACGCGCTATCGTAGTGTGGGTGAATTCGCTGCGGAAAGATGGTGCCCCTGTCTCCCGTCTCATGCTTCAACTGCAGGCAAAAGAAGCAGCTGCAGACATTGGCCTTGAAGGCAAATTTGCAGCCACATCAACATGGGTTAAGCTATTTCTTCGTCGCCATAAATTAGCGCTCCGTGTACGTACCAGGCAGGGACAGACGACGCCACAGGATGCTCAAGATGCAGCTACGACATTTCGAGCGCTGGTGCTGCAGACAATCGTCGAAAAGAAGTGTGTACAAGTATACAATGCTGATCAGACGGGTAATATTTTTTTTATTTTAGTTTTAAAATATTTTTAATGACTTTTCTTCTTGTAGGTGTGAATTTTGAGTATTTACCAAAACAAACCATATCTCAACGTGGAGTGAAAACTGTTTGGGTAAAATGTGCAAATAAAGAGAAGGCTCGAGCTACAGCTATGCTTTTGGCGGACTGGGAAGGCACAAAATTGGCTCCATTCATAGTGTTCAAGTGTCAACCGTCAAAAATTAAGGAAAAAAGGGAAGAGAACCACACTCTGCGCCATGGGTTTAGCCCGACTATGTGGACCCGTGAAATTAATCCACTTCAAGAGCGCTACAATTGTCAAATTTACGGGAACCAGTGCGCATGGTGGAATTCTGATTTGTCTCTGAGTTTTTTCAAATATCACTTTGCTGAGCGCACGAACCGAGATGACCACATTTTACTCATATGGGACGATTTCAGCGGGCATTGGACCCCTGAAGTTGAAGAATATGCAGCGTCTATTAACGTTATCCTACTTAAAGTACCGCCGCGTTACACGTACGTATGCCAACCGGCAGATATTTTGTGGAATAACCCCCTAAAAACTAGGTTGCGAGGTCTGTGGATCAACCGGCTAAAAGACCAACTTGTTGCGTATCGAGCCAAGGAGAAGCAGCGCCAGGAGAAAAGGGACAAACTCCAGAGAGATATTATTCGTGTGCGCAAGGATCTAGTGCAAGAGGAAGCAGAGTCTGAAGTTGAGCGACTTCGGAAACAGCATACAGAAGAGCCCTTTAAATTGGAGCCCCCAAAAAGAGAAGACATTACGGAGTGGATATCAAAATGCTGGAACGAGCTTTCAGAAAAGACAATTGTTAGTGGATTTGCAAAAGTAGGCATATTGGCTGATACTCGCCGTGCTGAGCAAGATTTTGACTCATATCCGGGACATATTGATAGCGAGCTTGTCCAAGAGCTGGAAAAATGCAATTTAACTGATGGTCATGTCGACTCTGACGATGATATAGAGTCTGAAGCTGGTACCGGTAGTGATAGCGGTAGCGAATGCTAAATACAGTAATTTGCAGTGAATGCTTCGGTAAAACTATGATTTGCATTTATATGTCGGTGCTCACGATTTGCATCCTTTGCTATTGAAGTGACGCCTAGGACTACGATAATTCGGTAATACGATTACGAGACGTCTTGTAAACGAGAAGAAAATTCACTGACAACGATAGTGGGCAGTTACGAGGAGCAGAGTCTAGCACACACAGATAGAGGTGTCTCCGAACTCATTAGTCATTTATCCTTCCAGCAGCACACGACAACGATGAAGTTTATCTTCCAAGCTCTAGCAGCGATGGCGTTCATGGCAGGCGGTGCCGCTGAATTGCAGAACGGGGTTCAATTGGGTGAAACTTTCGGTGGACCCCATGGCGATAAGTACTCCGACGTGAGCCTCGTTTCACCTGGACAAACTGTGACGTCCATTACGATTCGCTCTTCTGATCGCGTGGACGCGTGGACGCCATCAGCCTCAATGTGGTTGATCTGTCAGGACAGGAAACCACTTTGTACCACGGAGGTGACGGCGGTGACAAGAACACGCTGACGTTAGGACAAAACGAGCACATCACGGGCATCGAGGCTCACTGGGGCAAGTACTACCGCCACACGCGTATTATGTACATCAAGTTTACGACCGATGCGGGACACACCATCTACGGTGGAACCCCGTCGGACCAAATCGGCAAGGACGACGCCCCTGATGGGTACCAATTGGGAGGCTTAGCTGGCTTCTGTGGCAACGAGATCGACTCTGTGGGAGCTGTGTGGACCAGCATAAAGCCGACTCCATAAATGCAAACACGTGTTGTAGCTGTCTTTTGAGGCATATGTCTAGGTATTTTTGCTGGACTAAATCCTACACCAGGCATGTACATCGAAGTAGTAGTACAGCGCTATTGTCCCGGCCAAAAAGGCTCGGACGGAAAATAAAAAAGTCAGGTGGCCCAAATGAATTTGATAATATCTCGTCTTCCTGATGAGAGCTTAAGACGTGCTTACCCTCCTTTGTTAGATGCCTGTCTTAAGAAACTGCTCAGGCATGCAGCGCGTTTTACATGAGAGCGGTATAGTCTAAATTGAGCACGTAATTTATTATCTCTATAGCGAAAAGATGTAAGGTATAAGTCCTTACATACTTGACCTATCATAACTTAAGCTCAGCGCAAATTTAAGTCCTCATCTTTCTCCAGTATGCTAAGTGGAATGCTAGCGCCAGGTTTGAGCCAATACGGGCGTCTGTGAGGAAAGCTATAGGCCGAGTCCATCGTCTATCGGTGACCACCGCTGTTGCTGTTACATATCAAAAATATAATTGCAGTAGTCGTACTGCAAATGTATAAGATATTGCAGGTATGAATCAATTTGATTATCTCAGATCGAGCTGAACGACTGACTGATCTATGCTATATTAAAGGAATTGTAACACCAGCTGTATCATGTTAACCATGATGGTAAAAAACACGATGGGCGTCATTTATTGAAATTTATCCAGAATCTCCGGCTGCTATCCTGCTTAAGCCAATCATAGAGACAGAAACGCTGTACGTGGCAGGCAATTAATTGCAAAGAATTCTGCAACAAATAGTGGGTCTTTTCGACAGGAGGGAACGGGCTTCGAATTTGCAAAATTCGACGTCAGATTCGGACTCAGCAGTGCTGAGTCTGAATCTGACGAAAAATAGGTGCTGAGTCAGCACCTATTTTTACCCTATATATCTAAATGTCGATATAGGTTTTAGAGCGGCAAAACACCTTAATTATAGCGCAAAGTCCGTCCAAGGTTTGGTGGCCGGGACAATAGGCGAAAAACAGCAGTGCTAAACAATGGAAAAAAAAGTTGTTGGAAGCTTGCTTGTTTGATAGCTTGCAATAAAGTACCAGCACTACTTACTATGGAGCTACTAGCAGTATTTTAAAATGTATCGTATCATCGCACTTATTCTCATTATTATAGTGCTACTACAAGGTTGAATTCGCAGCTTGAAGTACTGGGCCCCAGAAAGTTTGAATCCTGCAGCTTATGCCGTTGGCTACAGCCCTTTAATACAATTGAAATACAGCAATGTACTGGTACCGGCATGGTTGTATTCCTGGACTATAGGAGCACGCCTCCCTAGCAGAAGAAGGCAAAAGATTCGTATTGCTGAAGAAATGCCTCACATACTAGACGCGAAAGAGATTATGATAAGGCGACTTGCACCGTATTGCTGTCGCGCTCTTCGCATTGTGGTAATATTTCTGGACAGAGGAAGTATTAATATGCAGAGCAATTTGTTGAAACCAATCAAAAGAAATTAATATTTTTAGTTTGTACAATTAAAAATTGCCCCAGTAATAAAAAATAATACAAATACAATTTTTAATTGTATTAGCTAAAACCTTTTAAGTGTCAACTTTCTGCATAATCAAGCATTTAGCGGCAGTATCCAAAACGCTATGCAGAACCCTTCGCTGGAGCGCACGTTCCGAGGTCACAAGTCGGCGGTCACGGGCGTGAGCTTCCACCCGAGCGTGCAGCAGGTGGCTTCATCCTCGCTGGACGGTCTGGTGATGGTGTGGAACTTCAAGCCGCAGCTGCGCGCCTTCCGCTTCAAAGGCCACGCAGGGCCCGTGCACACCGTGTGCTTCTCGCCTACAGGAGACGTCCTGGCCTCGGCCTCTCAAGATCGCACTGTGCGTCTCTGGACGCCCACTGTACGAGGCGACTCGGTCACTATCAAAGCCCACGCGGGTGCTGTACGCAGCGTGAGCTTCTCGGCCTCCGGACGCGAGTTATTGACTGCATCCGACGACATGTCGCTCAAGGTCTGGGCGCTGCCGACGCGTCGCTTCAAGTGCAGTCTAACAGGCCACAGCAACTGGGTACGCAGTGCCCAATTTAGTCCCGACGCTCGACGTATTGCGTCGGGTAGTGACGACAAGACTGTCAAACTTTGGGATACTGAGACTAAAAGATGTACCCATACGTTCTTCGAGCACTCTGGCATTATAAACAGTGTAGCCTTCCATCCCAGTGACAATGGCAACACGTTGGCCTCGTGTAGCTATGATAAAAGTGTCAACTTGTGGGACACGAGAGCGGGGCGTCTAATGCACCACTATAAGGCGCACGAGGCCAGTGCGACGTGTGTAGCGTTCCATCCCACAGGGAATTATCTACTCTCAACGTCACATGACAATTCCATAAAATTGTGGGATGTCAGAGAGGGCCAAGTGCTGTATACACTACAGGGACATGATGGAGCGGTGAACTGCGCCGAGTTCTCTCCTGACTGCAAGTTGCTGGCGTCAGGGGCAGTGGACTCGTGTGTGTTGGTGTGGGAGGCAGATCTGGACAAATGTTTGCAAATAGAACGACCAAATCCAAAGGTTGAGGCCACGTCGGTAGTGGAGGAACGACGTAAAAGTGGGGGCAAGAAGACTGGCCATAGAGATGATGACGCGAGGCCAGCTACTTCACTTCCTCCGACGCCTACGTCGACAGTGCCCACGCCACAAGAGAAACCTCAACATCCATTTGCTCCGTCTAAGTACGAAGTGCGACCGATGAGTCCGCAGATTAGATCTCCAGTGTCTAGTGACGCTGCGACGTCGGTACATCCACCTCCGGTAGTACCGGTAGAGACACCTAAGTCGCCTGGACGGGAGACGAGATCTCCTAGAGCGACAACCAATCGACGATATTCGATGGACAACACGCTGCAGCATATAGTAGGTCAGCTGGAGATCATCACACGAACACTGTCAGTGCTGGAGAAACGGATCTCTATCAATGAAGACCGCATCTGTGAGGTGGCTAGAGTACAGAAGGAGATACTGGAGCGGCAGAAAGAGACAGCGAAGCGAGAGTCAGAAAGACAACAATAGGATAGACAATCTCACTTTGCAGAGCTTTGTCGTGCGATGGTGTTAGCAACGTTTATTTCTATGATGGATGAGCGCAGGGAAAAGATGCTGACGCGCTATGTAGCTTACGTTTGGGCTACTATTATATCTTTCGGTTTATCACGTGCCAAGTGCAACGAGGTTGCACCTCCTGAAGTAAGCTTCAGTATCGTGGACAGCAGAGAAAAATGAAAGCTATTCTAATTTGTTTTGCATTTCTGGGGGTATTATCTCCCTACAAGAACGTAGTACTTGGCTATATACTACATGGACACTCACACAATATCGCTGACCGCGTTATTGCGTGATGTCGACCCGTGAATTGAACTTATTTACAACAAGAGACTTGATTAAAGAGGTGAACAAGATGAAAAGTGTGCAGGGCGTGTTCTTAAATCACACTGATGGCAATCGGCCCTTTTTTTAGACTGGAGCGAGCTGTTGAGCAAGTACTTTATTACACCTACGGGTTCTCAAGCTTTGGCAAACTGGCTGATGATGTAAATGATGGCCTTCCAATTGGATTATATACTAATTGTTTTAAACAATGCATACCGAATCGACTACGTCTTGAGCTTTCAGGTAAGGTGGAACGTGTGGTTCCGTTTTTCAAATGTGGTGTCGTATGAGAGCAGTCGCAAGGAGACAAAAAGTCGCAAGGGCAAGAAGAATCAGGATCCGGAGAAGCTGCTGGAAGTCGCCACCTCGATATTAATGACGTTCGGTACTTGGTGCTGCACGTCAACCACTTGGCATATCGCACCTCTTACTCCCTCCGTCCCACAGAACATTTAACATTTCTATTTCTGTGCCATTGTACGTCGTTTACGTTCGCTTTCAGTACGCTAAAGCATTTATTTGAGAGCTCGTTACGAGCGCTACAGATACGTCTTTGCTGCGCTATGTTAACGAGCCACCGGAGAATTATAACATTGTCACAATTTGGGTGATTCTGGGGTCACTCATTTAAACGAGTCGTCCAATCATCACAAAGGCAATCTGAAAAATCTTTTTAAGATCGAATTTAGTGAAGCTTTAACGCATCGTTAGCTCGTTTTTAACCAATCCTTAAGCGAATAATGAAAACCCACCAATTAGCTGTAGCTATAAAAAAAATAACGGCCCAATTGAATGGTTCTAACACTTTTATGTGTACCACATTGGCACCAAATGTAAAATGTCTTGTGGGATCTTTGTATGCAATCCCGAATGATTACTACAAAAACGAACCTTTAAATAATACTCCCATACAAATGCTGTTGTTGTTGCCGGCCGCTGCAAACCAGACCGTAGAAATATTTAGACACTCTACACGGCACCGCTCAACAGAGAATCTCACGCGCTACATCTCTACAGGTTTCTATGACATTTCGTGTAAAATTGACATCCTGGCGAAAGATTTTCAAATTTCACATCTTCACCACGAACTTTGCATAACGATAACTTTGCGACCAGGTGGCCGATTTGCTTCAAACGTCGACCAAAACAATTGCCGTAAATTACGGCCCGTAATCTAAACAGCAATTAAGACCAATCAGCTGCTCGTTTAAAGGGTTTCTGTTCCTAAAATTAATTATGCCCGCCATCCTGCTTATTTTTTCGGACGGAGGAAGTATGTATTTTGCTTTGCAGATATTTTTTACGTCTATTTTAAAGTGCTATAGCACACTTTTATAAGAAGTGAAATTGACCATTAATTTTTATAGACCTAAACACTTTTAAGTCTTACTCATTAAGCAACATGATGCATTATCTTATAAAGGTTTACGAAACATTATGTCAAGTTATGATCGAGCTACGTCGCTTAAGCGACAGCAGCGACAGAGTGACACTATTACCTTACGTGCTTCACATGTACTTCCTCCGTCCAAAAATATGAGCGGGCTACCTGTCTAAACCTTGTCCAAAAATATTAGCAAATTCCATACAAATATAAGTCATTCAATATTATCGCTGTATTTCGGCTAAGTACGCTCATACAATTGCTGTTTTTGCTGTCAACCACTACTAACCCGAGTCAAAACCGAGTTACGCGCTATCAGTTCCACCATTCAGTAGGCGATGTCCAGTTTTACGTTTCTACAATTCTTCACGCCACCCAATTTAAAAATACAGACACAGCAAAGACTTTTAAATTTCAAATTCGGCGCCACAAACTTTGCGTCATGATATCTGCGACCGAATGGCTGATTTGATTCAAGCTTCCTCCAGAAAACCCACTGTAATCCGAATAGTAGTTAAGCCTAACCGGCTGCCAGTTTATCGAATTCCTATTGTTAAAATTAGTTATGACCACTCTTGCCGCTTATAATTTCGGACAGAGGAAGTACGATATGGCGTTCCTTGGGTGTGAAGAGAACGTAGAGCTCGTACGGTTTCTGATTCTGCAGTCTCAACATGCAGGGTAAATTTCCACTAAAGGACATACGAAACGAATGGCAGGACCCCAGTATCCGCATCAGAAACCGGTATCGTATTATAGTTGATTCGATAATGAGTCATGTTTATTAGTACCAACTCTTTCTGTTTTGTTTGTGACTTAAGGAACTATTGAGGGGTACCGGTTTCAGACGGTAAGTACCCATAAACCGGTAACCAAACCGGTCCAACACGATCCCGCGATAATTACGGTACGTTGATTAGACGAGTAGGATGATTGGACGAGTGCAGAATGTTGGTGATTGGATGCACCAATTGATTGGATGACCTAGGTAGCGAGGGGTATGTAAGCTCCGATAAATCAATCACTTCGGAATCTTCCTTCTTCCCCTCAAGTGTCTTCGCTCCGGTCTACTCCCCGAGTGGTGACTCTTCCCTTCGCTTCGTACAAGCTCAACGCTACCTAAAACCCGTAAAATCTATCAGGAACTGCAAAAAAGAAGACTCATTACTGCGTGGCTTCGATGATTTCCTTGTCTTTTTTTGTCGTCTTCTCGTTGATATTCACTGGATGTGACCTTGGTATTTTGAGCTCACTCTGATACGTTTGGGTGAAAGTGCAATTGCTGAGGTGGAATGGAAAAGGATTTAGCTGGCAGTAATTTCAGCTTGTTCGTCAATAGCTACTTGACAGGGTGGCGAGGGAGTCAAATGGATGAAAGTGATGCTTCAAAACTTGTCGTGACCGTAGGGCCGAATAGATCCGCCAGAACAGCTTTTCGGATTGCTTCAATATTTCCAGATGCGACCATCACAAAAGAAAAAAATAACTCACTATCCGGCGTTTCTGCGGTACTCTGAGTAGTGCAAACTCCACGATCGATTTCTAAAAGGTAGTTATAGGAAGTAGATTCCGAAGAACGAGGGATGGACACTGACAATAAAGAAGCTAAATATGCTGTGAATACTGACTCTCATTTCGGTCATTAAAACCAAGCCTGTCCAATATCACGCCTGGTGCGACAAAGCGTGAGCGATTGGATAGTCAGAGCCCCAAGGGTATCGCTCACAGCTAATACAACTGAGAGGCAGTAGCCTGTTATCTTCATGTGGCAATGCGCTTCTTCCTGCTGAAATACTGGGGCTATCCCATGTTGTTATAGCAATTAAAATGCTTTTTTTGGCGCCGGTCGACGCAATTGTGGAGGCAGCAAAGTCGAGTCAAGTCGTGTGGCTGAACCAACTTCTGACACGATATGAGTGCTATCTGGTGAGCCTCTTCCCAGAATGGAGTAAATACCAGTATTTCTCTGTAGTAAGGACTGTACTTCCAGACACTTTAATGTAGCATTTACGACTTCAAGCACCTTTACAATAGTCAAGAGCTGCATGAAACCTGTCGGATCTACAAGAAAGCAATTGAGACGTACAACAGGTTTGGGCTCATCAGGAGGTAAGATGCATCGGCGCTTTGCCTTGCTCTGATATAGTGCGGGCGGTAATTATACTGTCACCCAGACTTTCAATATATTTTGACCAAAAAGCTAGCTAACAAAACTCTGTTTGGACCAATGGAAAGCTCCGTTCACAACCAAAGCGGGCTGGTGGTCGATTCACTCGATTCCGATGTGAACTCGCTGCATGATGGAGAAAATGTCCACTCAAAGTTGAGCAAGTACGACGATAGCTGTTCAAGTGCAACCCTTCTAAGCAACTGCGCTGTTGCTGCCTCTACCTAGTACTTTGTCGTCGCTCCTTGGAGATCTAGAACGGCCACGCACCTCGTTGTCATCGAATTCAGCAGCTTCCTGTACGCACGTACCGGTAATTTCGGCCCAGCACCTCTTGATAGTTGCAATGAGAGGTTCTCGAGTCTCAAACTGACGTCCATTCTCATACACAGCCCGTGCCAGCACACCCCACTTGTTCTCGATCGGGTTAAGGTCTGAGGACTTCGCAATCCACTCCATGACCTTCACATTTTCTTCTTCTTAGAAGTTTTTCGTGGCTCGGGATAAGTGGATAGATGCATTATCTTGAAATAAAATGCAGTCTCACCTGTAGATTATATATTTAAACGGCAGTAAATGCTCTGATAGGGTGAAGATAAAATGCTTACTGTCCTTCGACCCATCTAAAATCACTAGCTGGCTCTTCCTACCAGCACAGAAAACTCCCCACATCATCACACTTTCTCCTCCACTTTGGCGACGAGAATAAATTTGCGTTTCGAACCTCAAATCGTGCCAGTAGTACGGAAGCCCATCCACCTTCTCCCTCGCCCACTTTAGACGGTTAGCCTTATGTCTCTTCGTGAGCACAGGTGGAGTCATACGCTTTTCGTAACCAAATTCAGGGTGCTTTTGAAGAAGCTCTCGTATTCTACGAGCACTCAGGTCTAGCTGAAGCTGTGTTTTAAGCTTTGGGGCGCTCAACCTGCCTTTCGAAGCCTCTCGGAGTAGTCGCCGCTCAGCCGTAGGCGTCAGGGCTTTGGCCTCCCTGGGCGTTTGATGGTGTTCTAGGTGTCTGTACTAGGGATTTACGCGTGTACAAGAGGCATAGATCGACCTAATGTTTTTGCAATGGCTCGTTCGCTCAAACCG